CAGCAACCTCCAACTCCTGGGCTCAAGCGAGTCTCCTGCCTCTGCCTCCCAAGTAGCTGGGACCACAGGCACTCGCCACAACGCCCGGCCATTTTTTTTTTTTTTTTTTGGTTGCAGCCATCATTGTTGTTTGGCAGGTCCAGGCTGGGGATTCCAACCCGCCACCTTAGGTGTACGTGGCTGGCGCCTTAGCCAGTTGAGCTATAGGTGCCGAGCCTGCTTAGCTTCTTGTTGGAGGATTTATCCAATATTGCCAAAGGAGTGTTAAAATCTCTGACAATAATGGTGCTGGAGGAAATCAAATTGCTCATGTCTGTTATGGTTTCTCTTACAAATTGAAGCACATTTTGTTGGGTGCATAAATATTAATAATTGAATTTATTTATTGAGTGACTCATCATGTTGAGTGTTGTCCTTAACAAATGTGAAGTGACCATCCTTATCATTCCCTATTTTGTTGATTTCAAACCTATTGTATCTGAGGATAAAATTGCAACACCTGCTTTTTTTGGATTTACATTTTCATGAATTATACATGACCATCCCTTCATCCTGAGTCTATGTTCATCTTTTAAGGCAAAGTGAGATTCTTGAATGCAACAGATGTCTGGCCTGAGTTTTTGTAACCAGTCAGCCATCTGTACCTCTTTATAGGACAATTTAAGCCATTCACAATAATTGAGAGTATTGATAGGCCAGATAGTATTTTGGGGCATCAAGATTTTTGACTATCCAGTGGACATTTTTAATCCTTTCACCACTGTGGAAGTTGGAATTTGATTAAAAGTTTCTGAGTGAGTTTACTTTGGTGGTGGAGGGTTGTGTAGTTCATTATGGAGGATAGGTCTGAGAATATCCTGGAGAGCTGGTTTAGTTATGGCAAATTCCTTCACCATGTGAATGTCATTAAAGTATTTAATTTCTCCATCATAGATGAAACTCAGTTTAACTGAATACAGGATCCTGGGTTAAAAGTTATTTTGTTTACAGGGATTAAAGTTTGATGACCACCCTCTTCTAGCTTTAAAGGTTTCAGCAGGGAGATCTGAAGTCATTCTAATATTCTTCCCCTTGTATGTTATGGTTTTCTTACATCTGACCTGTTACAGAATTTTCTCCTTCATATTAACTTAGGTGAAATTAATAATAATGTTTCTAGGAGATGTTTTATTTGGATTGAGTCTTGCCAGTGTTATGAAACTGTCTGCTATCTGGATTTCTGAATCTCTTGCCAAGGTTGGAAAGTTCTCCTTGATTATCTCTTGGAGTAGAGCATCTTGGCCTTTGGCCAAAGATAAGAAACCTCTTATCCTTTTGGGATTCCTATAATGTGAACATTTGCTCATTTGGAGTGGTCCCTCAATTTTCTCAGGGAATGGTTTGTTTTTGCTCTCCACTTCTATTCCTCTTTGAGCATTTGGGAGCATTCAAAAGCTTTGTCTTCAATGTCAGAGATCCTTTCTTCTGCCTGCTCCATTATGTTACTGAGGAATTCTACTGTATTTCTGAGATCTTTGAGGGCTGCAAGTTCTACCCTCAATGTGTCAAAATCTTTGGTGACTTTGTCTTTGAACTCATTGAATTCTTGAGACAACTTTTGAATTACTCCTTGAAATTCTAATTCCATCTTCACCTCCATTCTGTTGATCTTATTTGCCACCTAAATTCTGAACTTGATTTCTAATATCTCAGCCATTTGTTTATGAATAGGATCATCTGGTGTTATCTGGTGTTATTTTGTTATTTGTTGGGGGAGTTGATCTACTTTAATTATTCATGTTTCCATAGTTTTTCCATCAACTCTGCCCTATGATTATTTTTCACTATTTGACTAAAAGTTCAGCTAAGGTGAAATTGAATTGGGGGCTCCCTGAGTTGTGGTTAACCAACCCTTTGCCTAGGATCTTGGACTGGTGACTATATCCTTTTCCACTACAGTTTTGCAAAAGACCCATACAGTATTACAGTCTGTGGCTCTGGGGATCTGCTTACTATAGTGGGGTTAGGTGGCTCTGTCTTGTATTCAGCTGGTCTTTGTCTTATCCTAGTGGATCAGTGACCCTGGGTTCAAGCCTCAACTGTGGAGAAATATAAGCAACTAAGACACCGTGCCTCCCATGGGCAACAACTGGAAGAGGAAAATTAACCCTTTCTGTTACTACACAATCAGGGTACTACCTGAGACCATCCTTGGGTGATTGGCCCAGGTTAGGAGTTCTAAACCAATCAATCCAGTCAGTACCAAGTCTCAAGTGGGAGGGTTCAAAAGGCCTCTAGCAACTAGATAGCAGAGGTCTGCCTGCTTAAAGGTGCTCACTCTGGTGTTCTATAAAGTCATAAGGGCCCACCCAGTGGCAGATTTGGACCAGAGGACTGGTATCTCTTCCCCCACATTGCACCTCTTTCACTCAGTCACTGTGAACCCCATGGGGTTGTGGCCCTGCTCCCTCCAATAAGCATATGTGCCAGGGCTTTTGTGCCTGACAGTGTCAAAGGAAAGTCAATGTCCCCTTGGCCCGGCCACCACCCTCTTCCACCAACTGGCTGAGGGAGCTGAAACCTGCCTTCCTCAGGTACTCAATTGCAACTGAGGAGTGTTCCACCCAAGCTCAGTCCAAACTTGAGGATATCAATCAAGTCAGTAAATTAATTTCTCCCTCAGCCACCATGCTTTTGCCCCAGCTGCCCCATAGGGTGAAGTCTGGCTTCCTCTGGCAGTCCTCAGAGTTGGGGAGGTGTCCCTTCAAGATTAAGCCCCAGAAGTATAGCTCTACTGTTGCTGAATCTTCATAGCTTCCCTATGAAGCTCCCAGGAGGCTCCCATGGCCAGGAAGGTGGCTAGCAGCAGCTCTGGGACTGCAGGGCATGCCACTCCAGCAGCTGGGTGGGGCACACCATGCACAGTTATGGCAGAGTGTGGCATGTGGAAGCTCCAGCTGGGCAGGCATTCAGAGAATGGCTCTGGCAGGGCAGGGCAGGCAGTGGTTCTAGCAGGCTGGAGTGCAAGGTGAGTGTTTCTGGCTTGGCAGAGCATGTAGTGGTTTGCTGTGGAATGGGGGCGCTTGGGCAATTGGCTCTGGCAGTGTGGAGCATGAAGTGCAAGGCTCCGGCAGGTTAGAGCGTGGGGCACTCAATTTTGGCAGGATTGGTGCTAGCACAAATCTCTTCCCACAACTGGTTTGCACTTTCGCAGAGCCAAACCAAACTGCCTAACCCCCTTTGTCTGCACTACTGCTGGGTTCACTGTTACAGTGCAGCTTTTCTACCATGGACTTTGTAGTGCCTAGACCTGATAGAAAGACAGGTCTCTTTCTACTGGGTCTCTGACATTCTGGTCTCAGTTGGGGTTAGGCTTCTGGACCATCAGGAAAGCAGTAAAGGTTGGACTGGAAGTTCAAAATGGCAGTGAAAAAGTTCAACTTTCATTCCTTGCAAGAGAGTGCTCAGGGTCGTAGCAGGGTACCTCTGGAGAAGTAGTCCCCACTTCCTGCAACTCTCTCCCATGGATTGAGACAAGAGGTCCTCAGTTCTCACCTCCCCTGTAGAAAACCTACAGTTGTGAATAAAAAAAAAAAAGAAAAGAAAGAAAAGAAAAAGAAAAAATCTCTTGGGAGAGGGGACAGACCCTTTTCCTTTGGGATGAGTTTGATACCTGAAATCTGCTTTCTTGGATTTGCAACTTGCCTCAGCAACGATGATGTGCAGTTATCACTGTGCTCTCTCAGCTCAGCTCTCAGTCTTCAGCTTTATTGGGTACTTTCTATCCTTCCCTCTGGATGGGAGCTTCAGTCAGAAGCTGGCTCCAGTCCGCCATCTTGCTGCTCTTCCTTGAGTCATTCTCTTTGTCTTTCCACATTTTTAAAGAATATTTTTTCTAATTTTTTTGGAAGAAGGAACTAAACTATTATCTAGGATTTAGTGTAGTGTATCAGAGCGTGCTGTTTTTTGGTGAGACCTTTCAGTGTTTCACCACTGAGCCAATATCACCCTTTTATGTGTCTCAGTTTCCCTCTCCAGGGTTTAGAACCTCTGAGAGAGCTCAAAATGTCTAGTACTTGGCTGTTATGTGCATTTTCTAGGTGAGTCTTCCTGTAGTTAATTTTGCAATGGACTTCCTATAGGGCCATTCTTGTCTCAAGAAATAACACAAAGCAACTCCCACTCAGGCTCCTGGCCACCCAGGCATGCCTTTCATCTCAGAAGAGTAAATTCCCTTTGTCTTTGGAGCTGAAGAACTCAGTATCTTATTCATCTGACAACAGGAAATTTCAATTTTCTCTTTTGCCAAATGTGCAAAAATACCAATTGAGATTAATTTGGGGAGGAAGAGCCAATAGCGAATACCTTTTTTAAATGCACCTAAAGCAACTGGGAAACACCAGAGTAAGTCAACAAAAACTTAACCAAATACACAAAGCAGCACTTTACTGATATACAGTCATTAATGAACAAAGTATGCAAACCACAAGAAGAACACACCTTCAAGAGGAAGCTGGGTCCCTCTTCATTAGTGCAGAAGAAATCTTGTTATTTATCTGCAAAGATAGGTGGCAAGTGGATTGTGACCCAGGAGACATGGGCCAATAGTGACAGTCTGTGAGTGCTCACTGAGTTGGTTTTGCCAGAAGGTTTGTACAGAGCTGTGAGGTTAATTCATCATCTGAGACCTCAGGACTTCTGACTACTTCTTCTACCTGCTTTTGGTTCTTGACTAGAGAAAGATATTGTGGAAACATAGTGGGTGCAGGAACATTCCATCATTCCCTCTTTTATCTCTTGCAGGGCCAAGGGAGATTAAGAGTTTTATTTCCCAGAAGCCTATCATCTGTGCATTACAGACTGGTAGCCAAACTTCTTGCTCTTAAATGGCCAACAAGTGCCCATTATTAAGTTTTCTTTAACATGAGAAGTAAAAAGAAAAGAACAAGCCAACCCTGTATCCATTTCACTTACCATAACAGTAGATCTCTGATGAAGCCCCAAAAGATGTTACCAGAATTATGCTCACTTCCACAGCACATAGACTTAAATTAGAACTATACAGAGAAGATTAGCATGGCCCCTGTGCAAGGATGACACGCAAATTCCTGAAGCATTCCATAATTAAGGAAAAAAAAAAAAAGATGTTACCAGAATTTCTCTAGTGGGTCCTTGGTCTCAAAAATTGAAGAATGAATTCACAGACCGTGAGTAAGTAACATATTTTATTAAAGGATAAGAGGAGAAGAAAAACAAATCCTCCAGGACAGCAAACAGGGACCTGAGTGAGTTGCTGATTTTGGCTCTCTATCTAGGTGCTTATATGCAATTTCTCCCTCTTTGCAGGTGTGGAGGCAGATGGGGGAAATGGAATGTGTGTCTAAAATTTGTCACAGCCATTGGTGCCAGAAGTCTGGGAGCAGAAGTTAATTTTAAAAATGCCATTTTATCGGGATGTGGTCTTGTTTAGGGAGTTATGCTCTACCTGTGGAATGGCAGGCAGCTTAGACAGAACATTGATCACACTCGTATATGAGCCTGCTTAGGCCTAGTAAACGGAGTCCATGTCCAGCCTTAGTTGAAGGGGACCTGCACTGATTCTTCATCAGGGCAGGTATTCATCCTTTCTTTCTTGGGATGCCAGGCAATTTTCTTGCTTTTTCAATCTCTCTCTCCCTCATTCTTCTGCTCTCACACTTTATGCTCTTTACTTTCTTCTTATCTCTTTCTCACCACCCCCCCACTTTGTTCTTGCTCTCTAACATAAAATAAACTTATACTTTTACTAAATAAATAAATTAAAACTGAAGAACAGAGGTGTCCAGCCCATGACCCAAGATGACTATGAATGTAGGCCAATACAAAATGATAAATCTACTTAAAAGATCATGAGATTCTTTTGGGAAGCACCTGTGTCTCAAAGGAATAAGCCACTGGCCCCACATGCTGGAGATGGTAGGTTCAAACCCAGCCATGGCCAAAAACTGCAAACAAACAAACAAACATAAGAACATGAGATTATGTTTTGTAAAGATTTTTGTGAAACTCAATAGCACAGTTCTCCAGCATGAAATTTGTAGACAACAATGTCTTGTCAAAATGTTACATAAAATAAACATATGTATACTCAATCTCACTATTTGTACACACATTACTTCGGTTTTACAGTTGTATGTTGTTTTCAGTGTGTCACCTCCAAGGACAAAAACAGTCAAATGAACACTGTCAGATGTTACAAATGCTCATGGTGACTTGACTGGGCAGTTATTGTCAATATTTCAGCTTACCATTGGAGTGTTAGATGTTATTTAGAAATAAGGTAACCAATCTTACTTCATTATTAAGAGCATTTCCACACCTCAGTGGTGCCTCAAAAATCACCCTCTGCAATTTACATTTAAACTTCTACCTGAATATTGCTATTTTCCAGTTAATTAATTTTCACAAAAAGTAAATATAGTCCTTTATCTATCTTTAAATTTTAATCCCACTGTGACTTCTATAATGTCTCAAAATAATATGTAATGAATGAAGAAAGAGTGTTCAATGAAATGTGGACAGACGATTCCTTTTTGTTTGGGAAAATAGTAAGGCACTTTGCTTAAGTTGTATGGAATTTGTCCACATTCTCAAAGACTATAATTTGAAAAGGGTGTTATATACAAAAACACATTGTCTAATTAGATGTGTATGAAGGATTGCATTTTATGGACAAAATAGCAGAATTGAAAAATATCTATCTTCTCAACAAAATATTTTAAAGTTACAACTCAGATTCCATATTCCATTGTAAAAGCTAATTATGTTGTAGCATGTTTAATGGCAAAAAGCAAAACCCGTTACTGATTTTGAATCTATTAGGCAATCGATATAAAGCATGGCAGATATGCTTTGACCTGAAAAAAGGGAGATATTTCTAAAATCAGTTTTTCTTGCCAGATGATAGACAGGAGAATAGAAAAAATTGCAAAATATTTTGTAATAAGTTTGAAGAGTAGAGCTGCCAATTTTAAATTGTATGCTTTGGTGGTAGATGATAGCACTGATGCCACAAATACAGGTTAACTTGCTATTTTTATTACAGGCATTGGTGATAAATATAATGTCATTGAAGAAATGGCTTCTACAGTTCCTTTGAAAGACACAACTACCCCAAGAGATTTATGTGAAGCAGTAGAAAATATGTTTAAGCAATTTTCTTTGTCCATGGTCAACATATCTGGTACAGTTAATGATGGTGCCCTGGAAATGGTAGGTAAAAGAGAGGGACTTGTAAAATTAAAAGAAGATAATGCAATTATTGCCTTAAACTCATGGTTGATGAAGAATCCATTCATAGGGTATCAAGAAAATATATGTGGGCTTTGGGCCTGTAGCACAGTGGTTATGATGACGGCCACATGCACTGAGGCTGACAGGTTTAAAGCCAGCTTGGGCCTACTGAAGGATGACAATGGCAACAAAAAAATAGCCAGGCATTGTAGTGGGCACCTATAGTCCAGGCTACTTGGGAGGCTGAGACAAGAGAATCACTTAAGCCCAAGAGTTTGAAATTACTGTGAGCTGTGACAATACAGCACTCTACCAAGGGCAACAAAGTGAGACTCTTTACATACAGAAACTTTAAAAATAGATAAAGTTGATGATGATACAAATCATCATCAAGACCATGAATTTTATAAGGGCTAAGGGAATGAATCATCACAATTGTAGGAATTCCTTAAAAGTATTGATGTTGACTTTGAGGGCAACATTTACTTTTCAGAAGTAAGATAGATAAGCCTAGGCCAAATGTTGAAAAAAAAATTATGATATTTGATTTGGTGCCAAGTACTTTACTCAAAACCAAATTTGTGCCAGAACCTTACAATGAAAACTGGCTTACACATTTCACTTTTTTAGTTGGTTTAAACACCCATTTAAATGAGTTAAAAATGTATCTTCAAGATGAAAACCAACTTCTCAATGCAACATTTCAAGCCATAACAGCATTCCAAATGAAATTATGGTAATCTCAAGTTAAGCAAACAATTTAATTTATTTAATATGTTGCCTAAAAAATGTCCTGTGAACAACAGAAAATATGCACTATTGCTTTTCAATTTGGTACAGAAATTTGAAAACAGAATTTCAGAGTTTTGGGGAAATTATCAATATTCGGATATATTTATGACTCCATTTTCAGTAGACATAAATATGTTACCTGCCAGGTTTCAAATAGAATGCACAGAGCTACAATCTGGCATTTAATTTAAAGATAAATGTTATCATGTCTCTTTATTAAACTTTTATAGGTCCTATCTTTTCAAAGACAAGTATCTCTTGCATCACAATCATGTATTATTCATGTCATTGCTTTTTGGCAGCACCTACATTTGTGAGCAACTATTTCGAATATGAAACATATTAAGAGGAAAATTAGAACCAAATGTCTGATAATCACCTGAAGAACTCATTGCAAATTGCAACTACTTCCATCAAATCAGATATTGACGCATTTGTTTTTCAAGTACAATGTCAATTATGCCACTAGTTTTATGCTGTCCATTTTTCTTTTACTTTTATAATTAAAAATATTTTTAAATGTTTTATTACTTAAATATGCACATTTTCTATATTAGTGTTCACAAACTTTGGACCTGCTTGATGATTTTAAAAGACCCTCTGAATGGGCTATTGCATAATTAAGATTATTCTGTGATGAATTTTTGATTGTCTGTGATGGCAGACATCATGAAAAATATGAATGGAGCTTTTTTATCTGCTTTTCATCTTTTTATTAGTCTTTGGTTATTTAATGTGTACCCTAGACAGCTCTTCTTCTAATGTGTCCCAGAGAAGCCAAAAGTTTGGATAACCCTAGTAGAAGATCACAATCTTTTTCCACCCTTTTTATCATATTTGTTGTGAAATTCAAATGAAACAATTACCTTTTGGAATATATGAAGGAATATATTAATTCAAGATGTAATTATTTATTCTTCCATTGAAATTGATTAAATATACCTCTTGGTCACTTCTTTTTTAATTAGGGAAGATGTTATATATCTAATGTTCCCAATAATTCTCAAAAATCTATCAAAAGCACCATAACTGGTGCCACAGAAGTGGTAGGTGAAGGTGAAGAATTGGATTTAGCTATGTGTTGCTTTCATTTTTTCCTGCAAAACTAACTTAATATTCCTAGGAGTGTTTGGAGTGAGAAAATAAAAGAACTCAGTTTGTACCTAGAGCAGTGAAGACATGGGAGGAACGGAAATTCACTTCTGTATTGAAAAGGTTGCTAGTTGAATCCTCCTAATTTATAAAAATACTTTTTTATTCGTATTTTGTTTTTCCAAGTATACTTACCACATCATGAAAAAGCACTATCCCAAGAAAATTATTTTACCAAACATCTTATGACATACTTAGATTTACAATGACATACTTAGAAATGAGAGAGACAATATTTTGGTAAAATGAAGACTGTGAAGTTGTGTAACCATTTATCCCTGAAGCTGTCAATTCATTTCAGCTCAGCTCCCTTCAACACTGATAAATCACTTACTTTATGACACATGCCATAAAGCCATTGAAACCCAAACATGACCAATATGTGCTTTATGCCCTCGGTAATGTGACAGAGATTATCAAGTTATACATTAAGTACTTAGAAGTTTCAGGAAGACCATTATGCCAATAAGAATCAGTGGGAAAGTAACCATATTAAAATACAACAGCAGAGAGGGCATTAGAAGGAATAGGTTACATAAATGTTTGTCTGATTTTCTATTGACCAACTACTTAGTGGGAATGTAATACTAATAGAAAGAAAAGAAATCTTTATATCTGAGACATAATAACTTATAAATGACTAAACAAGATGGAAGAGAATGAATAAAATGATGGAAACTGAGGAAATTTGGGAAAAATTTATACAGGAAAATCCTACTGCCAAAACTTTCAGAGATAAATGTTTAGGACAAGCAATACAAAAAAGTCAATTCATCTGTTATACTTATTAAACCGTGGCCATATTGACAGTACAGAAGAGTTAATCTCATTAGTTTTAAATATTATTAAAATTAAAGACTCTGGAAATTTCATGAAGATAAATGTTTTATAGCAAGAGTTATAAGTTGTAAG